CTATATCCGTTTTCGATTTAGGGCACCAATCTAAAATCAAAATCTCCGCTCTCTTCTCAATTTAACGATTCTCCAGGAAAACCCAAAGCAATCATCTTCTTCGTCCTCCTTTTCAGATTCTTAACCCTTTTCTTGATTCATCTATTTGGGTTTGCGAATTGGGGCACTTCTCTTCCTTCCGTACGCACCCTTTTCTCCTTTTGTACTGTGAGTGTGAACAGGGAAAAAAACTCACCATTTTAGGGTTTTCGGAGTTCAATTTCGTTATCTTACTATCGAAATTGAATCGATATAGTTGAATTTAGGGTCTGTGTGCTACTCAGTTGTTATACCGGAATTGATATTGATTACGGCAGTGGATTATGCTTTGCGTTGATTTTTTCTTCCTTTTTCCGATCCTCGTGATTTCTGATTGTGACAAATTGGTTTCTGGGTCGGAATCTTTTCCCGGACTTTAGATTTCCTTCTAGAAGTTTATTTCGTGGTTCCTGATTCATTATCTCCCTGGGGATGTATAGTCTTTAATTATATAGCCAATCTTTTGTTTTTGGGTGAAAATTTAGGGGGCATAAATCTTAAAAAAATTGAGAATTTCAGTCTTAGTCTGAAGAACTGTAAAGTATTCTGGTACTGCACCATGTTATTAAGATTTATGTCTAGTATTGTTTCTTGTGCTAGTTTATTTTGGTTATCAGCTTTGTCAAGTTCTTAATTTTCAGTCTATTTATTCATGTTTTTTTTCTATATTCCCTCTCAGATCGCAGGCGGTTCGTGTCTTGTCGCCGAATGATATTTTGTCTCACTTGATTGTCAGTTCGCGCAATGTCAAACCTTCATGTATAGGAACCTTCTTTTCCCCCTAATCATTTATATAGTTTCTGAAGTGTGAACCTTACCATTTGTTGGTGAAGAATATGCTAGTAACGTTTGCTTAATTATGTGTGCCATCTCTTCCTTATCAACTCGTGTGTTCTTGCCTTTGCAGTCATCTCTCAATGGTTCAGCTTCGAATTTACCAGATGGGTCGGGCAGATCTTTTGCTGCTTCGTATTCTGGACAATCTGGTGCACCTTCTCCCACTTTCCATCATACTGGTGAGTGTGCTACTTATCTTGGCACCCTTGTATTGTTTGCTCCGTTCTGAACTTATGCAGCTTTTACGTTTTTCTTAATGCAGGAAATCTTCAGGGACTTCATAATCTCCATGGGAGCTATAATGTCGGGAACATGCAAGGTACACTTACATCAAGAAACTCAAGTATGAATAGTATACCATCTGCTGGGGTTCAACAACCTAATGGGAGTTTTTCCAGTGGAAGATTTGCTTCAAATAATCTACCTGTTGCTCTCTCCCAGGTGCATGTGGTTTGAAATTTTGTGAATACAACTGCTTATGATCTTAATCTATGTCTAATATTATAGGGTGATTGTTTTGTAGTTGTCTCATGGTAGCTCTCATGGGCATTCAGGAATCCCAAATAGAGGAGGTATTAATGTTGTTGGGAACCCTGGATTTAGTAGTAACGCAAATGGAGTTGGTGGTTCTATTCCTGGAATTCTCTCCACATCTGCAGGAATCAGTAATCGGAATAGTGTTCCAGGGATGGGAATATCCCAATTGTTGGGAAACGCTGGTCCTCGATTATCAAATTCAATGGGAAACATGGTTGGTGGAGGTAATTTGGGGAGGAATATTAGCTCTGGTGGATTGTCCATTCCTGGTCTTTCTTCACGGCTGAATTTAGCAGCTAATAGCGGATCAGGATTAAATGTTCAGGGGCAGAACCGAATGATGGGTGGGGTACTTCCTCAAGGTACATATATGACTTATCCAGTGCTTTCCATTTTCTGTATTTGGGGTTCTCTTGCCCGTCTGACAATACAACTGAGCATTGTTATACCATTTTTAATGACACAAATATAAATTTTGCTTCGTGGAGGACACATTTTTACTTTTAAGGTTGTGGGTCTTTGGTTTAGTAACTAGGAAGCGCTGTTGAAATTAGTTAAAGAAAATAATTAGGGAGGAAGGACTTATATCAGCAGATGAACTTCTTTTTTTACTGTTGTAGCCTATACTTCTCTAGACTCACTTGAGTACAATAAAATGTAGAGAAAGCAGACTTTGTTTCCAGTTTACATATTTGGGGATTGTATGGAGTTTTTAAGATGAGCTTGTTTACTTTTATCACTTTACAAATTTTATTTACGTAAACATGTAATAAGCTAGCAGAAAATCTGATTGCAAAATTGTATGGTACAGGATCTCAGGTCATGTCTATGCTGGGGAACTCCTATCATACTGGTGGCGGCCCACTTTCGCAGAACCATGTTCAGTCAGTTAACAACATGATGCTCAGTGATCACTCTAACGACAGCTCTCTTTTTGACATCAACAACGATTTTCCTCAGCTGACAAGTCGTCCTGGTTCTGCTGGTGGCACTCAAGGACAACTAGGTAGGCAGTTTATCTGAAGATCTTCGGAAATTCGTATACTTAATATTAAAGTAGTATTTGGAAAAGTACTTATATTTCATGTCCTGTTCCCTCATACTCTTGTGGTGGTGTTTCTAGGCTCTATGAGGAAACAAGGTTTAGGAGTCCCAATTGTACAACAAAACCAGGAATTCAGCATTCAAAACGAAGACTTTCCTGCCCTACCTGGATATAAAGGTGCTGGTCTTTTATTGTCTATAACTTTGTATTGTGCATAATATTGGGTATGCATATGTTATGTACGCCATGTGAGGAATATCTTCTCTAGTTTCACCTAATGTGAAAAGTTTCCCCTTATGCTTTTCTCCAAAATCTCATGAAAGCGCGTACCCAGATATTCGAAATACTTAGGAGTTTCCTGAACTTCTTAGCTGCCTTTACATTATAGTTTACTGCATCAGAAAAATTATAAAGGTTCCTGACATGTGTTTCTGAATATAAGCTAAACCTGCTGGATCATTCACAAGCGTAGTAGATTTTTTGCAGGTGGTAATTCTGATTATCCAATGGATTTGCATCAGAAAGAACAACTCCATGACAATGCTATGTCAATGATGCACTCTCAAAACTTTTCGGTAAGCTTTAGACTGTTTTGAAATTATGAAAATGTTTTCCTGCCTTTTTCTGTTGATGGAGTAATTTATGTTTGGATATTGCAAATTTTGCAGATGGCTAGATCTGGTGGTTTCAACTTGGGGGGAACATATCCATCACATCGTCCACAGCAACAGCCACAACATACTTCATCTGTGAGTGGCAGTATCTCGTATCCCTATCTGAACTCAAGCCAAGACTTTCCTCAATTTGCATCTCATATATATAATTATCATTAATTCTTATTTTGATACCAGACTGGTGGGCTACAGGGTCTTGGCTTGAGACCTCTAAGCTCGCCCAATACAGTATCCGGTAACGGTTATGACCTTAT